GACAAACATTAATTCCTATTTCAATTCTTATGATTAATTAAAAATTTGTAGATTCCTGACGTTGGTTAGATAGAAATGATGGGTTAATCGATTAGGAATTGAACTTCTGTGTGAGCGCCTCAGTATTACCAATAACTTAGGTTTAATACGAGAAGACAGAGGTGATGAAGATACCGCACCAACAACAACAAATTCCAATCACCATGAACGGGAGAAACTTAAAGGAAGTAACCTCCTTCACCTATCTAGGAAGCACTGTTTCAACTACAGGCGGCACAGACGAGGATGTCAAAGTCAGAATCGGAAAAGCAAGACAGGCGTTCATTAGCCTGAAACCAATGTGGAAATCTACTGCACTCAGCATAAAGCGTGAACAACATCCGGATTTTCAACACCAATGTCAAGTCAGTGCTTCTGTATGGTTCAGAGACTTGGCGCGTTACGAAAGGGATTTCCAATAAACTACAGACATTCTTCAACAACTGCCTATGCTGGCTCGATACTGAAGATCAGATGGATTGCCAGAATAATGAGAATAAGCAACAAGGAACTATGGCTTGCTGGCAACGAACCAACCAATAACCTATAGCTCAACAAATGTGTAGAAAGAAGTGGAGATGGATTGGGCATGCACTAAGGAGACAATTCGGGGACATCACGCGCCAGGCCAGGTCGTCAAGTGGAACCCAGATGGGAGACGACGAGTTGGGCTTCCGAGGCGAGAGTGACATGGAGGAGATGGTGTGAGGAAGAAATGAGAGGTTATGGGCTGTCGTGGAGCCAGGTCCAGAAGATTTCAGAGAACAGAGTGCACTGGAGACGTGCTACTGAAGCTATATGTTCCACTAGGAGCCCAAGGGATAAATAATAATAATAATAATAATAATAATAATAATAATAATAATAATAATAATAGTAATAAATAAATAGCGATGACCACAAAATATGCATAAGGCTTAAACTAGCGAAGAACTGCACAATGAGGAATCAAAGTGATACCGTATATCCATGTTTAAATGTAAAAATGAATCAGTTATTGAACAGAAAGGTAGGTCATTTTTTATAGTTTTCAATACTGACTAAATAAAACTGAACAGGTTCGCAGTGCGGTGATCAATAAGCTAAAACTTTTGATAACATAATATATTACTTTGTATTTATTGAATGTTGAACACTAGGAGGCAACTAACAAACAGCGTCCGACGTCAGCTTTGATGATTAGTGTTGGTAATCAGCAAAAGCTTCTCCTGACATTCAAACCGATATCAATTAAGTAAGCGATGGTCAGGGTATTCATCTTGCTAACTACTAAGTAATTTTTGAAGGGGAGTGAGTATCAAAACTTATGCGATACCATATGTACGAAATATTCGGGTTTTTAGATGATAAATACACTGTAGGGAGCACATTCAAGTGGTGTAGTTATGAACAGATCAGAACACGAAGTAGCCATGAAGCAAGGTCACTCTACTATTCTAATCACTCGTGACTGATCACCTTGACAGTCTCATATGATTAGTGAGCTTTTCGTTTGTATGTTTCTATTTAATCGTCACATTGACTTGATGTCAGGAGACGTACAACGTTAGATTTTACATCAGTTTGGTTCAGAAAATATTCTTTCTATATGATGAAATACCAAACATAGAAACATTCAACGAAGTCTGTGTTGGTGCCTTATTTATCTGCCTGGTTGTTCAGAAGACAATGACCATAAGCTTCGGTTCTGGGTCATATGCCGAGTATTGGCTATTTATGTCCAATTATCATTTATTTGATTCTCAAGGATGGCTAAAATAGAACTACCTTATATATGACAATGATCCATGATTGTTCAGATTATCAGGGTTGAGTTGTGTAGAAAAACGTCAAACCTTTGGCTGATTTCTTTATCACATTAAGAACTAATAGTTAGAGATTACGAGTAACATGAATCAAAATCGGCTAAAGTGATTCGTATGCACTCATGGATCATCTTTATGAACCAAAGTATTTCATTTCTTTGCATTCAGTAGTTCCTCACTTCATACATATTCTTCTCATTTATTTCAACATTTCTAGATTTTGTAATGCAGTTGAGATGTATTAATTTGTACCACTGCTCTTTTGGGACAATGATCTAAGTTATCGATTTGCTTATCTGATTTGGAACACACAATGATACAGTATGGTTTACTTGATGACCAACTTTCGAGCATAAATTACCATTCCTCATAATCATATCAATGTAATCACATTACCTTCGACATTTCATTTCTATGGTCCTATCACCTCATATTCCTCCTTTTTATTGGTAGTAAAAATTTCCATATCTCTGGTGCAGGTGTTGGATCATTTCTATTACATGTGTTGAGTGTCGATTCGATGAACAAAGATTCAGTAATCAATCTCCCTCTCTCTCTCCACCTAATTATATTCGACTTAAGTATAGGCAGTTGTAGCCCAGCCCACCCTAGTGCATGGTTATGTGTTAATGTATGCAATACAATAGCTGAGTGTTTTTCTACATTATTGATTTTATTCGGGTCTGGCATTCTACATTTAGCTAAATTCCTATGTTCCGCTATTCTAACTGACCCTGACCGGCTACTATGACGTGTGTACTCGATCTCACAGTCATTGGATGGAATTTGGTAGATTCGATTATTTTGTTGAATTGGTTCTAACGAATCCTTAAGCCGGCCGACAAAGCTTATCTCCCAGTGAGTTTGTAAGTTTAAATACCACCTTAACACCAGCTTCGTTGAGAATCCTAGGTAAAGTTTCTGATGTTCGTTCCTTATAGGATAACACAATGGAGGCTGTGAACTCCTATCTATTCGTGTTTTCATTATTATTCGTACTCCTGTTACCGTTAGTATTTTGTTTGTGTTAGTACGAGGGACAGTCGGTTGTTCAGATACCACCATCTACAGGAAACCGACACATTGTTACAGGCATATTGACCTCAAATCATCTCATCCAATATCAGTTAGGGCGGCAGGTTTACTCAAATGTCTAAATGATAGAGCTAAAAAGCTGACTAGTTAGTGCAAGGACCTAAACAAGGAACTGAATGATATAAAATACACAATTTATTAAGAATTTTGTACGAACACAAGGAACGAAATAACAACAATAACACGAGTACGAATAATAATGGAAAGGAGTTTACACCCTCCACTGTGTTACCCTATGAGGAAAAAACATCAGGAAGTTTATGTAGGATCGTGAATAAGGCTGACATTTAAACCTATTAACTCACTGGGAGACAAGCTTTGTCGACCGGCTTAAGGATCCAATAGAACCAATTCAGCAAAATAATCTAATCTACCAATTTCCATGCAATGACTGTGAGGTCAAGTACATAGATGAAACTAGCTGGCCGAACATGTGAATTTCGCTAAATATAGAATGCCAGACCCGAATAAGATCAATAATCCAGGGGAAAAGCATTCTGTTTTTGTAATGCATGCATTAAGACACAACCACACAATCGGGTGGGATGAAACCAGTGTATGTAAGTTCAGTCTAACCAGGTGGAGAGAGAGACTGTTGATTGTTGAATTCTTGTTCATTGAATCAACACCCGACCAATACATGTGAGAGGAATGAAGGGAAACACAGGAGATTTGGAGAATTTTACTATCAAAGAGTAACAGGTGATGAGACTATAAACATCAGATATCGTAAGTAGTGTAGTTACATTGATATGATTATGAGGAATGGCAATTTATGCTGGGAACATGGTCATGAAGTAAACCATGATTGTGTGTTGTAAATCAGATAAGCAAATCTAATATGGTGTTACTTCCTACCATAGTACTCAAGTTTTACACTTATATTAAATTGACCACTAGTCGTTCTTTAATATGCATGTCTCTGGAATTAAGGAATATTAATTGAATCAACGTTGTTAATGTTTACCGGAAACTATTGGGTGCCTGTAGGTAAATTTCGCTTATTCAATGAACACTATGTAAATATGTATTAGTAAATTTTTTTTTCAATTTATAATATATGAAGAGAGACAATTTAAAATCTCCTACTTTCAATTTTCAAACTCATTTTTTCTTACTTACAGTATTATTTGAGTAGTATTGTAAGATCAGTAAGCATAAGAAAGCATATTAACTTCTTCTTGTTTCCCAACACTTTATTTTATCATAAAAACATATTTCTTTAGCCATTGAAATATAAATAAACAAAAGACAAATAAGACGAGATAATTGCACACAAGCATTTTGAATAACACTCAATTTCTGTGTAAATTAATGAAGAGATAGACAAAAGGAACAAATAATAATGAAAAGAGAATTTTTGTAGGTAGCATAAGTTGGCTGGGAAGTAAAACGATGAAAAAATAAAAACACAGTCGATTCAAAAGACTAGAAAAGTGAAAAAAATAAAATAATAAAGATTGCTAAAGTTAAGTGCAAGTGTAAATATTCAAGTCAGGAACATTGATTATTACTCACCCACCCTCCCCATAAAAAAAGAGTATAAAACCAGTGGGAACACGATCATCTAGGTGTTTCGGTGTGTAGAAGTTACAACAAATGAAACGTTTATCCTATCTAATGATATGTAGTATAATATTTTTTTCCCTTTTCCTTATTGCAAGTAATAATAATAATAATAATAATGATAAAGTAAAGGCAGTTATTACAGGTTCCCAATCAAAAAAAGACAAGGTTAGAATCACACATCTCTATGAAACCCATCACTATTCCCTTCTCTTGGATAATCAAAGTAATAAGAAAATCTTTGAAAGATTTATAGAGATAATTCAAACTTCTGTGAAAGACATTTAACACTTTTTTCTCTATAGAAAAAAAAAAAAGAAGCTTCAACAATAAAGAATATTAGGCAAAAAAAGTAGAGATAATAAATACAAAATGAAACAAAATAATTGAGAGTAGACAAAATACTATTTGTACACTGTTTGTATATTCATCCACTTGTGTTTGAAAGAAAAAAGACACTAAACAAAACGGAAGATGGATTAAGTGATGATTAATTCACCATTGAATACTATGTTCTGTACAAATAGCAGCTAATTCTTTACAAAAATCCTCAAATATTACTGCACACAATACCATTCTTTGTATTCTAGGTATATCCAGTGGTAAATCATCTTCATTTACTATTCTATTCTGTTTAGTGTGTTGATAATTTACACTAGTTAATTTCGATTGTTTTCTTGTTGACAGTCTAAAGCTTTTACGTCGATGGTTCCCATTACCACTACCATAACTGTCATAACTATTAATAATTGGAGAGGTAGAGTTATGAAGAGATAAACCATTAATCAATTGTTGATTATCATCTAAATCAGTTGGAAGAGTGAATTGTGACATTGGTTTTTGTAAAATTTGCGAGAAATCAATCAGATCTTTGAGATTCAATGTATTACTAGATGAAGATTTTCCATTTTTATCAGTGTTTTTATTGGTTTTATTATTATTGACAGTATTATTACTACTAGTATTCTTGATGTTAGTTTTCGATGAAAGATTGAACCATTTTCTAAAGTAGAAACGTTTATTTGAATTCATCACTGTAATAAATAAAAAAAAGTTGAGAGGGAATTTCAGATATATACACAAAAATAGATATACAGATACATGGGGATTGTGATAAGAACAATGAAACAGTTTAACAAAGTGAAAATTTACATTGTACAATGTTATGAAAAATGCATAAATTAGAAAACATAGTTCCACCTAAAATAAACGATTGATATTGATTAAAAGATAATTGGAAAAAGTAGATTCCACTCAAGTTTGAGCCACTTTAGCATCATAGACTAATAAACCACAAAAAATATCTTATTTGGACAAAAATCGGAATACTAAAATCTGACATGGAATCGACCGACTAGGAGTCTATAACTCGATGCTAACAGCAAGCATTATCTTATATATAATATTAGATGTGATCGTTTTTGAACATCAATGACTAACTAAGGATGTCAGGTATTTAGTTTCTGATAAACTACTAAAAATTTACTCCTATTTATGAATAAACAGCATTGATACCTGAGCAGTTTGATATAGCCATCAGTATTTTGATATAATATCGATCATATATAAACATTTATAAGAAATGATAGTAATTATTATCACCGCATGATGAGTGAGCTACAAACTACCTGATATTCAACATCAGTCAGAGTGGAGAGAGGTAAGTAGGAAAATAATAAGGATTAATCAAGTAAATACATACATAGCCCATTAATCTATTGGTAATACTGATCAGAACTGTATGGGTAACCGTCCTCTATTAACTCACATGGTCGTCTCAGACAATCAAGAGAAGTTTACACTGTCCAAGTTCTAAGACTTCGGTTGCTAGAGTAGTACCGTTCACACAAGAACCCATCAATAATTAAAAGGCTAAATGGGATTTTTTGTGAATGTTTTCAACAAACTATTTCTGAAATTTCACGAGGAGGGGGGATGGCTTGAGAAAGTTATTCTGCTACCTAACAATACAACACCGAACCAAGCAGCACCAAGAGGAATTATCTCAGCTGAATGTTGAATGGGTCGAAAACTGCGCAGTAACATTCGACACACTTATTCCAACATATCTTTCACATGTGCACATCTCACCAGGAAAATAAATAGCCTCCTGTTCAGTGATGGTATTTACGATGCAGACTATTGCCAGGAGTATTAACTATGGATGCTGAAGAAGATTATAAGCAAGCGCATACATCAGCAAGTTTGAAATAACAATGAGGATCTACTTCCTAGAAAACTAACCTTGAACATGTTACCTGAAACGTTTGTTATGCAGACATCAACGAAACAAACGGAAAGACCACAGTCGCCTAGGACAAGAATGTCTTCACAGCTCAAGCGATGGACTGATAGAAAAAGTAGGATTATCAAGTCAATGGAATTTAAACCTCGCCAATAGATGTACGAATATTACTGAGAAACGGAAATCACATCATCCTAGGAAATTAGAACATCCGTAAAATTCCAAGTCTGGTTCCCTAAACTCGCTGCATGAATAGCTCATCTATAACATTACCTCAAGAAATCATCATTAATTCAGAACAGTACTAAAGACATTCAATTTCTTTTTATTTTGATCCACTTCTTACTCACTAGTGATTGGGTTCTCAATTAGATATACGGAGTCCCAACGTTCGTTTTTTCATGTCCGTTTGAGAGGATGCTTACTCTCCAGTGACCAATCAATGTATCTAATCCAGTCGTACAGGAGGCTCAACCGTGTCCCGATTAGCTCAGTGGTAACGTCTCTGACTACAGCACTGGGTGATGCGGGTTCGAATCTCAGGCACGACATCAGTTCCGTCGAGGTTGCAGATACGCCTTGCTGACGAGTGCCAAAAGGCACGAAACCTAGGTCTAGGGCTTCCTGCCGATTGCTTTCATCCAATTGAACAGAATGCGGAGTATGTATTTCATCCCACATAATACTCTCTAATCTAACTGTAGTTTATGTTTTAAACAGACAGTAATGAATCTGGTAATATTCTAAATTCTGTCAGTGGTTTGTTCAGTCGCTGTTGGTCAGTGTCAGTGAGAAATATTATAAATGCATTTGAATTTGTGAGTTTTGGGGGATTTAGTGATTTTTCAAGTTGGTATTCATCATGGACTGACATCAATCTGGAGGAACATTGGAAACTTCGGAGCACTGGACAGTTGTTTCGTCCCAGTATGGGAACCTGCAGAAGTGCACATCGACGGCCTCGCTGGGGATCGGACCCGGGACCTTCAGGTTCCATGGCCAGCACGCTGCTATTGAGTCACCGGGTGCTGGCTACGGGACCTTGAGGTCCTGGGTTCGATCCCCGGCGAGATCGTCGTTGTGCACCGCTGAGGAGTCCCGGACTGGGACGAAACAGCTGTCCAGCACTCCCAGGTTTCTAATGTTCCTCCAACTGATGTCAGTCTATGATGAATACCAACTTGAGAAATACATTTATAAAATACCATTTTTAGATTAGATTCAATCGCAGATAAAGAAAACGCTGTTTCAATATACGAAATGAATATCAAACACTTACTAGGTGATATGTCTTGTTTATTAGCTGATAGATATCTTGGCTCCTTATGAGAATTGTTTGAATCACTGAATCTTTTCTTCTTACTTTCAACTCCAGACATTGATGTAGCAGATACTGGTGGTAATTTTGATGGATCAATTGTTTCATAATTCAAATATCGACGTGCTTCTTGTTTTAATTCACTGAAACTATATCCATTCAATGTGTTCAATAGACCAAAGTATTTACATTGTCTTGTATACAATACAGCAAATAAATCAATTTGTTTTTTAATTAAACATAAAATATTATAGGGTAGACAACGTAGGACATCATCGTGTAAAGCTCTAATTTTAAGACTAGACTGTGAATTTATCATAATATTTTGAGAAAGATTTGATGTATTTGTTAGGAAAAGCATAGCTCTTAACAATGGTACAGGATATGATGCTAGACTAGATACCAAGTTGGTTAGATAGAGATTTGCATAGAAACAATTATTGGTAAAGTTCTCCAGACGATTTAACAGAGTTGTTAAAAATGGACCTAGAATATAAAAGAGAATAAAAAGTAAAGAAGCTTACATTGTTATATTGATTTAGAAAATAATAATGATAATTTATAGAAACCAACCAACCAAGAACCCATCACCTAACAAATATGCAGTTGAAGGAAGTGGAGATGGATTGGGCATACACTGAGAAGGCCGACTGGGGACATCACTCGCTAGGCCAGTCCCTCGAGTGGAACCCAAATAGGAAACGACGAGTTGGGCGTTTGAGCCGGGGGTGACATGAAGGAGATCGTGCGAGGAGGAAATGAGAGCTTCTGGGCAGTCGTGGAGCCAGGTTCAAAAGATTTCATAGAACAGAGTGCACTGGAGACATGCTACTGAAGCCCTATGTTCCATTAGGAACCTAAGGGACAAATAATAATGATAATAACCTCCAATCCTACCCAACATCACCTGAATATCAACCCTAACGCATCATAATCATCACTACGAATACAACAATACTATCACAAACCAACTCCTCAATAACAACCACCACCGTCACAATCACCATCTTCACAACTTATTCCTTCCATATCGTTTTTGACAACATACGGATACACACTAGCAACCATCGAAACATTTACTGCTTTCACCCACTCACTCTCTCACACTTCTACGCCTACTCCATTTCTACACTAATCCACCGATTGAAACACAAACATCAATCATACACCTAAAACAATCCAAAACCATGATCAGCAAAATCATCCTTCAGCCTTAAATACATCAAGCCACCAACCAACCAATCAACCCAGATCGGCCCAAGTCACTTGTAATTAGAAGACGAAGTTTGTTTGAACAGTGTGATGTATTTGCGTAATATATTACTAGTTGATGTCTACGTGTCATACATAGAAAATCTGGCTGGTGGTATCATTTCTAAGTTTTTCTTTATTACAAGAGATGTGTCGACGGTATGATAGTGACTTGTGACAGACATGAAAATATGGTTTGCCTTTTAAAAAGACTTAACACTGTAAAAAATCATTTCAGCCTAACGTGTGAGAAAGGGAACAAATAATTATATGACATTCTTAGATGTACACTTGAGTCGAAGAGAAGGTACTTCAATAAGATGGTCAGTCTACAGAAAGTCTATATGGAAAAGACAGTTTTGTCCGATCTAATACAAGTGAGGTCTGATAAAATGCCTATTTAGTTGGATTGGTCGTATCTGTACATCAGATACGATAGATGAAGATATCAAATTACTGACCAAAACTTTTAGGGAAAATGGATATCCGTTGGAGTTTATACACTGTTGTAGAAGTCAGGTAACACCAAAGCCAACTATATTCTCGGTTCCTAATGTAATTGTCCACATCGATCTACCGTACAGACGGGAATTAGATAGTATAGTATTAAGATGCAAACTAACGTCACCTGTTAGTAAAACACATTATGCGGCAAGCTTATCATTTTGTAAGGGATGAAATATATGCTTTACCACAAACCGAAACAATGCATAAGTGATTCGATCCATCATTAATATAATTAGAATGCAGACAATATCGAGGCATCCGCAAAGGAGCCAATATGTCAATAGAGACCGATTAATTCGGTCCAACCAACGACGGGATAATACAAGGAATAACACTAAAACTATACCCGTCACACAAGAAGTGGCTATCGTGGCTCGGTGGTGTCGTGGATAATATCCTGGAGCTTGAACCGATCGCTCCCGAGTCCGAATCCCGATGGGAACAACATCACTCACTGGGAAGCAGGCACGTCCAGCTGACGAGTCCCAAATAGGACGAAACGCGCATCTTGAATTCCCGTGCTAGCTCCCAAATAGACTAACAAATTACCTGAGCTCAAAGCACCATAATTTATATAGGCAAAACAACCAATCTGAAGTACAAAACAATGATAATGCATATTAATGGCTATTACTGAACATTTAATTATTTTAAACTACAACCCATACAGAAATGGGTAAGGAATAAAATCAAAAGCACTTAAGCCGAGCTGTACAATAATGCTATCCAAAAAAAGTCTTAAGTTAAATACCTTTCAAAATGGATAAAATAATTCGACCGATAATACTTACATGAGATTCATGTACTCCATCTACTGATAGATATCAAAGAATGAAAGCTTTTCGAGTGTACATCTTACATCACTTCTTATACGAATGTGCGCATGTGTTACTTTGATACTGATCTACTGATATATATCACAGAAGTTGTATCATAAGTCAACACAACATTAGATGACAGAAATGCCTTCGATTCAACTATATTTAAGGCATCATTCATTTCGTTTTCTTGAATTATCCGAGATTGTCTGTTTCTGAACAAATGACTATCAACCAATCAAAACAACTTATGCGAAAATATTCATTGCCAATCACTAAATCGATCTTGATAACTGTCGCTAATGCAAATAGTAGAAGTATACCACTTTATCATTTATATATGATACGTAAGTCTAATTTCATAGGGATTAATAAACTCAGTGTAGGTCATCTAGTTGACTTAGATGATGCAGACGACATTTATTGTCTCACTAGGTGAGGAACATGACAAAATACAACGTCCTATGAACTCATCCAGAGGAAACATGACCATGCTTGCATGCCTTTCGCCTTCAACCGTCAAATGTTACATGACGCTCAGGAATAGTCTGCAGTTACTCCCAGTTTATTGACACAACACAGTGAAGTAGTGCAATGTGCTGACCACTTCAATTACTTGACGACTTGCATCAACCCACCCAACGCACTGGTTGCTGATGGAAGCTGAGATCGCATACAGAAGACCTGCTTGGCATTCGCCAACTTGCATCATCTGTGGCACCGACTGCCGAGATATCTAACAATCTGTCAAACAACGAGTATACTGCACTGCAGTTCGTTCTGTCCTGTTGTTTGGCTGAGACATAGTCGTTGAAATTAGAAGACAAGAACTCGTTACCAGCTTTCAATCACACATGTCTTTGTACCATTGCTTGCCTTCGATGAAATCACTGGTCTCTGAGTATGGTTGAGGTCACGCGAAGGGTACTAGGCAAGACAAGTAAGTCAAATGATGAGGTTGTGAACCTTCATAGTCTGAGATGGGTTGGACATGTACAGCGTATGCTGAGTCAACGCTTACCTCGACATGCCATGCTAAGGGAAGATGGATTAGGTTGGGAGAGGGTTCATAATTGGCCACATCAAGATGTGGCAAGAATCGATGAAGTCACTGACAGTCGAAGAGATCCAGACTACGTGCTTCAGGTTCTCGAGACGAAAGGGATCAATTGTTTGAGAAGCCTTGATGACATGGCTGAAAATCAGTCACAATGGGACAGATGTATTCTCCTTTTGAAATCTTCTACAGCTTGAGTGTTTGCAGTAACCGTTGTCTTCAGATTGGGTATTCTCTTAGACAATTCGGTCCACTTTGATATCACTCCTTTTCTGTGCAAGGTTCTACATTGATTTGTCTGTCTGTCATTTATATTTGGTATATTTTTTGGTGTAATGACATAGATTTAAACAAATAATATACAGATGACGAAACACAGACATTATTCTTTCTATCGCGTAAAATAGCTAATCAAATCCCAAGAATAGGAGCTCTTTCTAGCTTCAGGTAATCTCTATGAATCTATTTAAAGTGTGTACAGTCAGACATATATATGTATGCATAATAGCAGTAGTATCTGTTTTGGGATAAGGGCGTTTATTAAACGGAAATGAACCGTAAATATTTGCATCCTAGGGATCTGTGCAAACGTTTCATCATGATGTAATATTAGATTTTCAAAAAAATAAAAGAAATAAATGAAATCAGAAATTTGAAAACAAAATATCTTCGAATTTACCTAAATTTGGATGAGTTGTAAGAGAGTCCATGTCCTTCTCATGAGTAGAGTTGTTAGTGGTATTAGTAGTAGTTATGATGGGTGGTGCAGTACACTCACTAGTAGTGTTGTTGACATTAAAATCAACTCCATTATAACCTAATGACTCTTTACATGTATTTTGTGATAAGTGTTGTATTGTCTCTAAATAAGCACTGGATATTGTTGATGAGACAGTAGAAATGCTAAGTCGTTTTTTTGAACAAATTACCGCCACTTTTGATGGTGATGATGATAATGAAGATGGAGGTTGTATACGACAAGGTGAATGATCTTCATTGCGCAACACAGTTAGATGATTATCCATTTTTTGATTGACATTTCTTGGTATTGTCACTAGTGAGGAAGGACTACCATAGTCGTTATTTTCTGCTGATGATGAATCATTTGAACGAGCTTGTATCAAGTTATTCAATGACCCATGTGTAAAACCCGCTTCACAGTAATCATGTCCACGATGATGATGGTTACTACACAAGTTATCCTTAGACGTTCCATTTGTTTGATTAGTGTTTTTGTTACAACATAACCTTGAGTAGTCTGCATTTAAGGTCTCATTGTTTGACAATGCTAGCGAAACTTCCTGCGAAGAGCACTGTTTTGATACTATAGTCAAAGGAACATCAAACAATTCTTCTTGATAATTATCAGTGAACTGCATAGGCAGTGTGAGCAGGCTAGTCGCTCTCAACTGCTCAAGTAAGTTATCAAAATTCCTATAAGTTTCATCTGTATGGTCATCTAAACAGGATAAGCTACCACATTTATTACTGGTGGGAGTGGTAGCAGCCTGTTGGTTAGTATTCTCTTCGTAGGGTTTCTGTGAATTGTTAGAGTTATGAGTTAGGCTTTCAGATGGAATATTTTCTAGTTCTTCAATGAATTGACTTAGTTCATAACTGTTCTCAGTAGAATTGGTTTCGATAGATGCAGAGTTATCCTGATCACTGAATAGTTTAGAAAAACGGTTCTCGTGTATGCTTTCCAACTGGTCAACTACTAAATGCTTAGAAATTTCCTGAGAATTTTCCATACTACTTTTTCAATATCAGTAGGGTCGTCATGAGTAGCTAAAATATTATCACCGTTATTGGTTGTCAACTGTTCACATGCGTCGAATGAGTCAAGGAAGTTAAGGTGATACCATGACTTAATTAATGTTTTATCATACGATTTGATGGCATGATGATCATGATGTAAAGATCCACTGGAACATTTGGAGGTCTCTTTACATTTAGTAAACATAGAACAGAGATGTTGATCAGCAGAATTGGACGTTGTCAATGCATGCTTCAGAGAAGTAGTACTATTGCTACCATTTTTGTGAGGTTGTTTAGTTGGTAATTGTTCTTGATAATATTTTTGTTGTGGCTTAGCCTTATAATTACAGTTGTTTATCGTGGTTTCACACTCATCCATGTTGTCTGAATCAGCTAAGTCAAGATCAGTTTCAATGTTCAATTTTGTAGCAGCTGTACACAATGCTTTAGCATGCAATTCATTTGCTTTCATTTTTATATCTTCAAGAAATGGACAACAATTTCGAGTAACAAAACATTTATAATCTGTGTATATTTTATACGGGTCTAAACCGATACGACAATCATATTCAGAGAATTTACGTGTTTTTTGATAACATGTAAATTCTTTTTCGGTCATTTTTAAATTTTTTAAATTTTCATCTAATAAATTAATTTGTTCAATTGTTGGTTGAACAGCATCAAATGTTAACTGCCATGTTTTACAAGCGTATTTACGTATCTTAATAGTTTGATGCGCCCATGATGTATAAGACAACCAATCAAGCATTGGATTAGGTGAATTAATGAGAACTGGAGAGGAATTATTTGATGAAAAATTATTAGAAATATACGAAGGAGAAGATGAAGAGGCATTAGACAACTTGTAGGATAATTCTTGTCCAGTTTGTTGTGAGAAGTTAGTAAGATTACCGGTATTCCCGGTGTTGTTCACATGATCGGTAACACCAATATGAAGATCATTACCATAATTATTCATGATCAGTGAATTTGTTGTTAATTCTGTATGTGGAATTAATAAATGACTGGCTAAGAATTGACCACCCACTGGTAGGTTATCTAACTGCTCAACAATCGATTCACTTTTACTACCTATTATGAATAAAAAACAATTGTACACAAATAATGAGAGAAAAGAAGGCAAAACTAAAAAGACATTGGATAATAGTTATTAGTTATTCAGCGCTTATCGACTATTACGTTCCAATGCTTTCATCATATCTGTATATTACATCATTACATTGAAGAAGCCAGTCACATAGTTATTGGTACTGGGGGCGGGGATGACTGAAAGTGAAGTGAAAATTTAAGCTATGGCAGGATTCGAACCAACGATCTCCGAGTTACTACCGACTAGGTTGTCTAACAACTGAGCTAACAGATCTAGCTACTGACCAGATTTTCACTTCACTTCAATCGCCAAGAGATTAGCTTAGATGTAAGAAAAAAACAAACAATGCATCAGTTTCCATTTTATATACGACAAATAGATACTAGGTTGTATAATTTATGTATGCCAAAAAGTATTACATACTAGAAAACATTCAGTAATGCATAAATTCATTGCAAATGTCACCAGCTTTCTTACGCTGAGTATCTTCTCCTTTCTTCATTATCCTACAATACTACCAAACTATATTTCTTACTTGTTTTCTTCAGTACTTCTAACCAATGCAACAAAAGTCTACATAAAAATAACGCCGTTTTTTTTGATAAATCAAAATTCCTGATGAGTTTTCGCTCAAATGACTCAAAGTATTTGGTGAATTGAATACACCTGATAACTGTTTAGAGAATTCTATTATAATTTCACATAAACTTAGTCGATATGATAAAACCTACCTAAAAATATGATGACACTTTCATAGACTAATGTACTCGACTTTAATATTTGCATAGGGATGTTTTCTGCTATCGATAGCTGGTGAATTATAACACATGTGACAATACATTCTGGAGGTTTGAGATTTATTAATTGGTTTAATTCGGGTTGGAATTCATCATGGACGGATACCGCTTGGAGGAACATTAGAAACCTCGAAGTACTGGACAGTTGTTTCATCCCAGTATGGGACTCCGCAGCAATGCACATCGATGACCCCGCTGGGGATCGAACCCAGGTTCCGTGGTCAACACGTTACCATTGAGTCCCCAATGGTTTATATTCACTACTTCTGTCAGTTCATGATATAGCGTGGTCTCCATTCAATGTCATCGTTGAGTAACTGTCCTCATTTTTTTTTACTTGATTAGCTCCACTGGTCACGACTTCTTATTAGAATTTCAGGAATCACCTCTCGAAGCTAATCACAAATGTTCCTCCAACTAATGTCAGTTAATGATGATAGCATTTGGAAAACATCATAATTTAGGCATAGTTTATATCTAAGTCACAGTTTATTTGAAATAAAATAATTTCAACGTTTTGTACGAGAGTCTAGTCCAAGCTTTTTCAAGGAAATAGTCAAAAATTATATTTATACATATGAATTCAAAGACGTGTATAGTTGATCCCATTGCCCGATCCCCTTTGTATAGCCACACAGTGGCTTACACAAATATAAACTATGTCTAGTGTCAACTTTTTATTCAGCACCTAATATTAGCGACACTATTCAGTCAAATCTTGATCATAGATCATATAAAATGCTATTTTACTTTATGAATATAAGCTTCTTGAGAAAAAAACGGGATGTGAAATGAATTATACTGGAAAAGGTGAAGTAAAGGGGATAAACATTAACCTATTCGAATAAACACTGCCATAGTTATCTTTTACACAAGCTTATTCCCGATAACTATTGAAATACCTACAGTATTGAAATATTTTCTTCACATCCCATTGTCTTCATTACAAGATGAAGGTTGACAGTGATAATACTTAAAACTGGTTAGTAGTGAAATTCAGACTGCAAGTTTCATCTTATTTAGTGCTTTTAAAGACTTACTTCGAGATGGATATTCCGAAGTCATAACCAGAGGGATCAACCAGTCGGAGGGGAAACACATGTCAACTGAGGAAGTTTGGGTGATAGCCAAGCTATATCGTGAATTGATTGAAAAAGGACACTGTACACCATTGGATCTCCATCAAGTGAATGAATAGTTAACGCTTTTGCCAAGAAATCTGAAAGTCATGAGATCGATCCCCAGTGGGGCCGTAGGCGCGTACTACTGAAGAGTCCCATACTATGACGAAACAGCTGTCAAGTGCTCCTAGGTTTTCAATAGTTCCGCAACCGATGTCAGTTCATGATGAATACTACCTTGGGAATAAGATTCCTGTAAACCTCAAAGTCAAAGAAGGGGGACCTAAGCGTTTGCAAGAAGTGGAGTGGATCCACACTCCTGTCCACTCGTAGCAAGCAAAATATTAAGCCGCAACATCCTGGAGAGACTAAAAATGATCTGCATTCAAAATTACGACCAGAGCATGTTGGCTGGCTGCCTTCAGGAATAACAAATCATGTGAGGGTCCAATTGCATGCAACCCTACCCTACACATCATCATAGAACACAGCATAGAATGGTAGTCAGTTGGATTTTATCTCGGCTGCATTGATTTTGAGAAGGATTTCGATATTGTCAACCGAGAAGTAATTTGGCAGGCAGTTGGTTCAACACTACGGTTTTAGTGCCACAAACCTTCATCAACCTCATTCAACAGCTATATGCTATGCTACATGATGATACTACATGCCGAGTGATTCACAATGGAAAGATGAGTGATACACTTTGCAGTGGAGACAGGAAGGAGTAAGACAATGTTGTCACCTACTATCACCGATGATCTTCCTGAATGTGGTCGACTGAACTGGATGATGCAACAAACTGTGAGGAGGGAGAAGAAGGACCTATGAAAAGTCTAGAGGATTTGGATTTCGCGAATGGTGATTGGTGTCTAATGTCGCACAAGCTGAAAGATCTACAGGCGAAAACCAACAAGTTGGCAAAAGGGGCAGGGAAGCGAAGATGGGACTTCCTTCATTAATCTGAAATGAGTGTGGAGATCTACTCCACTCCATTGCATTCAGCATAAAGCGTGAACAACATCCGGATTTTCAACACCAGCGTCAAGTCAGTGCTTCTATACGGTTCAGATACTGCGCATTACGAAAACCATTTCCAATAAACTACGGGCATTGATCAACAGCTGCCATCTACGCTCACTCGATACTGAAGATCAGATGGCCAGAAAGAATAAGCAACAAGGAACTCTGGATGGCTGGCAACGAACCAACCTAGAACCCATCACCCAACAAATATGCAGAAGAAAGTGGAGATGGATCGGACACTAGGAACCCAACGGACAAATAAAATAGGAATTATACATACTTCAGAGTAAGTTTTCTGACAGTGGATTTGTTAAACTACCTACAAAACGATGACAGAAAATTATTTTGATTGGGATATTACTGAAGTCAACCAACCAGTTAGCATCAACACGCGACCTGGTATCACTGTGTAACGGTTCAAGCTGCTACACCTCGTCAAGGCGGTTGGATGAAAGATAGGCAATCAAGGAAGAGAGTACTAAAAAGTGTTAGAAAGTTATCAAAACGAGGAGACAATAATGAAATCCACTATGACAATTGAGATGAAGATAACGTGTGAACACAACTGAGCCACTGAGATCAGTTGTATCACCTAGAGTCTCGAACCTCAGATTTCGATTGCCCATGAACGCAGACCAGGAAGTCTATATTTGGCAACACGGTTCAGACCGAGGGTCAAAGACCTCACTGACTAATGTTGTGTTTTTGGCTGATCGCCTCTAATTTTTCTCAGCCCTTATTCACTTCAGCTGACACTGCATGACGAGGTAGACAGTAATTAGGCACGTGTAGAACACTTCTCAGCCATCGAAATCGATGAAGGTTCATCAAAGCCTCATCAACTGACTCACTCATTCGGCATAGAACACTGAGCATAACTTACGCATAAGCGATGCTCTGATACCAAGACACACGACCTATACTACAAAAGCAACGGTAATCAAACACCTGAAGTCTCTTTTCCGCTTTATTTAATGACTATGTATCACAGCCAGAAGTCAAAGCAGTATGAACCGTAGAGCTGTACAGTGGCTCTTTAATTTGCAAAAGTCAAGTGAAACATGTTTACAAATTCTATGTGAATCAATAGCACATTCTGGACTTGATGAACAATTCACTAGGCAAGTGTATTTATAGCTATAGAATTACTTTTATTTTATTTTAAATCCACGTTATTCGAATAACAACTCATACCGTATACGACGAGATCGTGTATACACATTAGTGATCAAACGCTAAATATCAAGGTTTTCTATCGATCTTTCAAACTAAATCTATTCAGGAAACAGTGATATAAGGATATCCAAAACCCATGAAAGTGTATTGTTAACAACACTCAAAAGATTTAAATAAAGCTTTAAATGTAGATACATTTAAATCACTCTCGTTGATTTCGAACAGTGTAGTGTACATTTTCCTGGCTGGTGATTTAGTTTATTGTATAACTCCAACCAATAGGCATGCACTTCGATATGACTTTGAACGACAGTTAAAGACACTATGAGTTGGTACTGTGACTTAATTTGGCTAGTCTTAACCTTCTGCTGATGATATTCTACTTCAGTTAACACTGAACGTCGAAGTATATGGTACTAGAAGGGTATAACACATGTGCAATAATCATAGTCAATGAAGATTTACAGTATCATGATTGTCACCTGTTTTACCTACCTGTCTTCTTATAATACTTTTCGCCTGGTTTTAGTTTTACTCATTCACTAGTGATTTCACAAGATATAAGTGATGACATAAAGATAATGGTAATCAGTTCATACAGTTAGATAGTACGTTCAACCTATAATAGGTATTCAGATGTCGAACCAATACCAGAAATAATACAAGTTGAAGTAACCTATTCCAGTCTTTTGTATTTCTGTCAAAATTACGTTGACTTTCAAATAACTTCTATTGACTCAAAAAAAGTGGAGAGATCAGCATATTTAACAATATGTCTTATTATGATTCAATGGGATATTGATTTCGACAAGTCATAAAGCAGGATTTAGTTAGAGATAAGTGTATTTCAAACACTCTACC